CTATCCAAAATACATAAAGAACTCATACAACTAAAAAGCAAAGAAATATTATCTGATTAAAATTGGAAAGAACTAAAAAAACATTTTTCCAAAAAAGTTAAACAAATGGCCAACAGGTACATGAAAAGAGACACAACACCACTAATTATCAGGGAAATGAAAATCAGAATCACAATGATACATCACCTCACATAGTTAGAATGGTGTCAAAAAGAAGTATCAAGTGCTGGGGAGAATGTGAAAACAATGCACTCCTGGTGGAATGCAAATTGTTAAAATCACTGTGGAAAGCAGTAGTAGTATGGATGTTCCTCGAAAAACTAAAAATAGAACTATCATATGATCCAACAATTCCACTTCTGGCTATTTATCTGAAGAAAGTAAAAGCACTTACTTGAGAAGATATCTTCATGCCCCTATTCAATGCAGCATTACTTACAATAGCCAATATAAAGAAACAACTTAAATATCTGTTGAGAAATAAATGGATAAAGAAACTGGTGTGGGTGTGTGGGGGGGGACAGGGTGTGATGGAATGCTATTCAGCCATTAAAAAAGGACATCTTGCCACCTGTGGCAACACAGATGGGCCCTGAGAACCCTATGCCAAGTGAAATAAATCAGGTAGAGAAAGACAAACGTGTATGTTATCACTGAAATGTAGAATCTAAAAATACCAAACTCATAGAAACAGCATTGATTGGTGGTTGCCAGGGGCTGAGGGGTGGGGAAAAGGTCAACGGGTACAAATTGACAGTTAAAAAATGAATCAATTCTTAGGATGTAGTGAACAGTATGGTAACTCTAGTCTTACAAAAAAAAATCACACTTGAAAGATCTGAAGAGAGTAAATCTTAACAGTCACACCACAGGGCAAAAAACAATAATTATGTGAGGTGATGGATGTGTTAACTGACCTTATTGTGGCAATCATTTTAAAAAAATATACATCTATCAAATCATCACATTGTGTACTTTAAGTTTACACAATATTAAATGTCAATTTAACTCAATAACACTGGGAAAAAATAAGAGAATGAATTGAGGTTTAACATCTTTAAAGAGCTCAATTATAGCTGCTCTTTGTAAGAGACACAGCTGACTGTCAGAATATATGGGATATTCTACAATACGAAAGGGCTCCAATCCCCCAGAAGGAGTCTATGGTGAACCAAAGTAGATAAAGACATAACAAAAGGGACAGAGGCAACACTCAGAGGAAATAAAAGGACAGACAGAGGAAGAAACATGGAAAGTAAACCAGAATGAACTGCCTAGAGAGGAGGAAAATCAGGAGAAGGAAGAAAGTGTCCTGACACCCAAGGGAAAACGAGAAACGCAAGGGGCCAGCTGTGCAGTGTGACATGTTGCAAGGAGGATATGATGGCTGGAAAGCCACTTGCAGTTAGAGGGGTACACATCTGCAACAAAATGATTCCCAAATGAAAAGCTATGGGTAGAAAGCGCCAGAGTAAACTATTCTTTGTGGAGGCCAGGCTCTGAACGGAACAAGACAGGGGCTGGGGCACAGCACACACTAGCTTCTATGGAGGATACGGATCCTGGAGAGGAGCAGGGCTGGCCAGCTCAGAGGCACTGCACCCCAGGGGGACCCGCGAGAGGAACAGGCTCATGGGAGGCCGGGGAGGAAGGCTCCCCTGACGTTCAAAGGAGACGCCACCAGTGCCGAGGGAATGACAGGTGACGCTGCGAGCAAGAGAGCCATGGAACTCCACAGGAGAAAGGCGTTTGTAATCACATTGTAATCTCTTATACCACTAGCCAGGGCCTCCCAGACTGCTCAGTGGGAAAGAATCTGCCTGTCAAGGCAGGAGACACAGGTTCAATCCCTGGGTCGGGAAGATCCCCTAGAGAAGGAAACAGCAACCCACTCCAGTATCCGTGCCTGGGAAATCCCATGGAGAGAGGAGCCTGGTGGGCTACAGTCCTTGGGGTTGCAAAAGTCAGACACAGCTTAGTGACTAAATGACAATAATACCTGTGGCAGGCAAAATGGTCCCCCAAAGGTATCCATGCCCTAAACCCTGGCTTCTGTAAATATGTTAAATCACGTGGCAAAGGGGGCTTTTTCGATGTCCTTAAGGTTACAAACTTTAAATCAGGGGAAGTTTTTGGATTTTCTGGGTGAGCCCAATCTAATACACAAACCCTTAAAAGCAGAGAACTTTCTCCGCATGAAGGCAAGAGATGCCACAGAAGGGGACTCAGAGAGATTCTAAGCGTGAGAGGGATCTGGCGTGTCTGAGACACGAGGGCCCGTGTGAAGGAGAGGAGTGGGGCCTCTCGAGGCTCGGGCAGCCCCAGATGACGGCCAGCAAGGAAGCTGGGACCCCAGACCTACAACACCTGGGCACTGCATTTTGTCAACAACATGAACTTGGAAGGGAGAGTGTTCCCCCAAAGCCTCTGAAGAAGAGTCCACCCATCCAACACCGACTTCAGCCTTGTCACCCTAGAGAACCCAGCTGAGTCGTCCTGGGCTTCAGCCTACAGAACTAGGAGGCGATGATGCACTGGTGTGGTTCCAAGCCATCAAACCTGGGGCAGTAAGCTACAAGCAGCAGTAGAACACCAACACGACACTCCATGACACCAGGGCCAGACAATAAACACCCTTGGCCGGCAGAGTATCCTTGTTCCTCCTCCCTTCACCTCAAAGCGCACCCTGCAGGAGATAGACTGGGTCCGGAGAACAGCGGGGAGGAGAAATGCAGGGCAGGGAACAGAGCAGGGACCCCCCACGGCCCCACCGAGGGCACAGCAGGCTCTGAGCAGAGCAGCCCTGAACGGGCAAGGGAGAGGCTTTCTCCGGATAAAAGTTAACTTATTTAAATTAAACTAGGGCTGCGTTATCTTGAAAGCAAATGGAAAACTCTGGGACCTGTGGTGAAAGCTATCTGGCAGCAGGTAGGAATAAACTGAAAGGGCTGGTTGAAAGAGGCACTCGCTGGAACAAACAGGTCACTTTCAATCTGTACCTGCCATGTTCACCTTGGTCAAAAAGCCAGCTACACAGACCCACCATGAGTTCAAGAGCAACCATTGAAATCTGACATCCAGAAATCAAAGTTGTGTATATAGCAATGCTCATGCAACTATTTCATATATCTAAGACCCACAGAGAAACCAAAATGAGCTTTCAGATCAAAATTCTCCTTTCACTGGATGAAAATGTCGGAAAAAAAGCCCTTAAGAAGTAGCAGAACTAAAAACTCATCATTACTTTTTAAAAGTGCACTAAAACCAGAGACCAACTAAATCATTTTCTAAATAAAAGTGAAATAAGTATGAATGTTGAAGGATGATACTGTACTTCGCATTCATTAAGCAATCAAGTCAGCACACTGTCTCTCAAAGGACCATCGTGAGGAGGAAAAAGAGGTGTTCTTCAAAACAAAGTTTTTACTTCATGGAAAAAAAAATCATCTAAGTACCTCTGAGAACATTACATAAGTTTTTTAAACTGTACAATGCCAAGACAAAGAATCTAGACACAACTTTTAAATGAAACCTCAAAAAAAAAATAAATGAAACCTCATTTTGTCAAATGTCAAAATACAAAAATGCAGAGTATTCAACGTTGCTGCCTCTGAAGGATTTTGATTAATAAAAATGGTATAGATACGCAAAGCCAAAAATAAACCCCAACCTAAATCTAGTATCCTCCCCAGACCTAGAAACAGCTTTAAATGTGTCAGAGATGTGATAATTCGCTTGACAAGCCTGAGAAACACCAGTTGAGTTCAGATTTAAAGGAGGAGAAAGGCCCTTCCCAGATTTAGAATCTCCAAGTTCTCCCTGCAATGTATTGTGATATTGTCAAGGTATCAGAAAGGAAAAGAAGAACCCAGTCCTTATTTCTTTTAAAGTCTTTAGTTGTGACAAACTCACTCATTTAGCAAATTGGCAGTCCTAAGAAAGCAATAATTCACTTTACTTCTGCTGAGTAAAGTGAGTTTGACTGCAAAAGATCTTCTGCCAACAGGGAGACCTGTTTAAGATTTAAAAAGTGATCTGTTCCAGTTATTAAATATGTAAACACTTCAAAGATGCCAATATCCATCTGCCCTGTTCATATAAATAAACTAATACTCTTAGCTAGGAGAAGGGTAAGACTAACAGAAAACACTTCTAAAGTCATCACGTTCAGAACAGAACACCATCCACCACGTTCTGCACTTCCTCTGTGGTTACACTCTAACAGCGTGTGGTGAGCCTTCGCGAATGTCCGTCACTGGCCCACTTGTTCCACTTACTCAGATGACACCAGCAACTCTGATACAAGGAGAAAACTGTCTGAACAAGGCGCACCAAAACAGCACCATTCCAGAATCTCAGACAATTCAGGCAGCAGCTCAAACACACGATGCAGGAATGAGGGGGCACTTTATTGTCTTGAGTCCTCAATGGCAGTCTTGAAGAAATCTGCCTTATACAAGTCTCATAAACAGATGCAAAGGCTAGCCAAAAAAAGGTTACATTCTTTGTTCTAGACTGAAACTATATTAACTCACGGTTATAGAAGGTACAGAGGCATACCCCAAAGCAAGTGAGTTCAGGTGTCTGCAGACTTAACTGCTGCAGGACTATGCAAACATGGTTACTGTGAGAACTAAGAGCTCAAACAAGGTCCAAAAGTCAGCACACTTAACAACACACACAGCAAAGCGCTATGACTGTCCTTCTCAATGCAACCGAGCCAGACACACCACTGAGATAATCTATTTAAGATAAAGGTATATCATTTGATACTTTAGAAGGTTTATGTTTTTATGTACTTCTGTGTAAAACAACTGGCATGACACTTTTCTTCACATTCTTATTTTTGTAATCCTAAAACTCTCTATGCCTTGAGTGCTATCTTAATGACATCAGAAATAACCTATGGAACCTAAGTTTCAGACACGTCTAGTTCCATGAACATAAGCCAAAGCTAAGGTTTTTACATCAAACATTTTATAATGAATCAAAATTCTTACCATCATCTTTTCAAAAAGCTCTAAAATTTCCTTCTCGGACAGTGGTTTTGGAATGTTTTCATTCATTTCTGAAGAACAATCATTGTTTGAAAACGCAGTCCTCAGGTTGGAAAGTGGAGGCCTCTCTTTCTTGCTCCCTGGAATTCTTATGCTGGCAAATCTATCCATCTATGAAGAAAGATAAAATAAAAAGCACATATGTAAGTATTCCCTTCTCAACAACACTTATTTAATTTCCAAAAGGAAAAAACAGGGTCAGTTATATCATCACTGTGATTTCATCAGGAGGCATTCAATTTAGCATGTAAAATTTAAGATTAAAAGAAATAATAAATATAAAAATAAGTGAAGTCTTCATAACCATCCTGTCTGAAGGCAGGAGAGACAACCTCAAAAGATTCCTTCCAATCTTAAGATTATAGAATAAAGACTCTAATGATAAATGACCTTTGCTACAGATTAACAAATTAGGCATTTTTACAAAGGTAATTTAGCTAATTTGGTGGTTTAGTCGCTCAGTCATGTCTGACTCTTACAACTCCATGGCCTATAGCCCGCCAGGATCCTCCGTCCATGGGGTTCTCCAGGCAAGAACACTGGAGTGGGCTGCCACTTCCTTCTCCAGGGGATCCTCCCAACGCAGGAACCGAACCCAGGTCTCCTGCACTGCAGGTAGACTCTTTACCGACTGAGCCACGAGGGAAGCCCAGCTCATTTGGTGGCTGGCAATCACACTGGTACTCAGAGTTCACCCTCAAGTTCCCTCCCCCAGCATCCTTTTCGTAGCACATACTACACTCAAACTGGGAGGGGATGGGCGGACGTGATTTAGGCACTTTGAGAACTAAATTTTACTTACATCTCCATAGCTTGACCTGAGAGACATCACATTTCTCTTCACTCAGATTAGTCTGTATTTGAACTTTATGAACAACTACAGGGTAGACTTGGAGAAGGAAATGGCAACCCACTCCAGTATTCTTGCCAGGAGAACCCCATAGACGGAGGAGCCTGGTGGGCTCACAAGTCCACGGGGTCACAAGAGTCGGACACAACTTAGCGATTAAACCACCACCACCACCACAGGGTATACTGAAGCCTCAAGAAATAAAACTGGATTTTTATTGCAATGAGATTTCTTCTACAACTGTATCAACAAATAGTTCACAGATATTTGAAAATGCATAGATTAGTTTACAAAGCTAATTGTTCATTCATTGAAAATAGCGTGAATTTAGCAAGTTCTGTTCCTCACAGAGAATCCAGACATACACAGTGTTTCAAGTGGTAACCATCAAAAAGGGAAAGAAGGGTACTTAAAAACACTATGATTCTGGAACTGTTCAGAATAACTGTGCACACATTAAGCTACTGTTTTCACCATATACATATGTGTAGTACATAAACCTGTACTATTCACTGTGGCAGCCACGTGTGGTTATTTAAACATAAATTAAATTTTAAAACTCAGTTCCTTTGCTGCCTGAGTCACATACCAAGTGTTCAAGAGCCACAAGAGACTAGTGGCTCCCGTATTGGTCAAAGCGTATAAAGTACACTTCTATCATAACAGAGGCTCTACTGAATAGAGCTACTAGGGCCCATTAAAGAAGCATAACACTTAAATTCCCTATTTAAAAAGACAGTAAGTCACAGTATTGATTATTCACTTCACTAAAGAAATAGGATTTTTTGCAAATAATAATGTTCTGTGCTTAGACGCTCAGTCATGTCCAACTCTTTGCAACCCCATGGACTGCGGCAAATCAGGCTCCTCTGTCCATGGAGATTCTCCAGGCAAGAATGTCCGAGTGGGTGCCATGCCCTCCTCCAGCGTATCTTCCCAACCCAGGGATTGAACCCAAGTCTCACACATTGTACGAGGACTCTTTACCAGCTGAGCCACAAGGGAAGCCTTCAAATAATAATATGCAAAGATAATAACACTTGTCTTTCAAAAGAGGCCTTTAACTTCACTTTGAAGATAATCCTAAGGAAAAACACCATGTACCATGTACACTCACACAGGGCCCATCTAACACGAACTAGACGGTACAGTACTAATAACACGGCCGCTTCTGGCGGGATTACAGAGCAGTCCACACCACCGCTGCCCTCATCCCAACACCGAAACAAGCCACACCCTGCAGAACTCTTCTCACTGTTGTTCTCAGCCCATCAGGAAGCTGACCCCAGGAAGCTGAGGACACGAGGGGACAAGCACAAGTAAAACAGAGTGCTCTCGGCCCCGACGACAGCTGCAGAAGAAGGACAGATGCAGAGAGGCAAAGAGAAACCAGCCAAGTCTTTAACGAACTATTGACAGCCACAGGAGCACTGGCATGAGAGATTAGACTTCCAGGTCCTGGGTCAGGAAGTCCCGGCCACAGAGCGAGTCTGCACCCTCTGACCAACTCTTTCCCTCAAGTCTTCACACACTGCAGGACGTAGAGGCCGAAAGCCAAACACGGGGATGCTCCCTGAGGCGGGAGGGGCCTCTCCCAGTGCAAAGCAGCTGCCTGCCAAAGCCTCTGGACCAGCCAGGAGACCCGAGAGAAACCCAGACCTTCAGAGAGCAAAAGCCAGCTGCTATCTGAAGGCTGGGGGCAGGATACCAAGTCTCTGAAGAAAGAGAGCCAGCAATGGAACTGAAAACAAAAAAAGAACACTACAGAAATCCTAAAAATGGGCATCAAGACTTTAAAGCAGAAAGAGATATTCCATGGTTTCCAAAGCCAAAGTTCAACTGTTAATGCCAAAAAGCAAATTGCCAGGTTCTCATTAGCACTCAGATCCCAAGTCCACAAAGCATTTGAGGCCACAGACAAGCTGAATAAAACTCAAGCAGCAGGAAAAGCAAACGCAGCTCAACTAGAGATCACAGAGACACAGCCCCCATTCCAAGAGTTTGAAAGAAGAGCATGCCCTCTCTTGGAAGCAAATATTATTTAATTTCTACTGTAATTAAATAAAATGTCCACCACAAAATCAAATGTTGCTAAACACAAAGGAGCAAGAAATACGGCCAGCAGTCAAAAGAAGTGACCGAGACAGCCTAGAGGGCAGAATTACTAGACAGACTATTTAAAAGAAGATTTATAAAAATAATGGTAAAGGATATAATGGAATTACCACCACGCAGTGGGGAATTTCAGCAGCAAATCATGGACACTATTTTTTTTAATCTATTAGAATGAAAAGTGTATCAGAAATGAAGAATTCATTAGGTGGGCTTAAAAAGAACCTGAACATTGCCAAGAACTGGTGAACCTAAACACAGATCAATAGAAAGTATTCAAACTGAAACAAACAAACAAACAAAAAACAGAATAACCAATATTCATGATACAATATGAAATGTTGTAACACAAGTGTAACTGGGGTCCCCAGCAGAAGAGAAAGAGTATTATAAATATAGATATAGATATATACATATATGTATATCAATTCACAGAGAAGCTCAGCAATCCCCAGAAAAAATACAAAAACAAGCAAACAAAAAACCCATACATAGGAACCTCACAGTCAAACTACTGAAAATTAAAAATAAAGGGCAAACCATAAAAATACAGCCAAAGAAAAAAAGACATTATATACAGAACAAAAATGATACAAATTTCTCACCAGAAACAATGCCAGCAAAAGACAACCGAATGGCATCGTTGAGGAACTGAAAGAAAAGTAATCTCACCCTAGAATTCAGTATCTAGTAAAAACACTTTTCATAAACAGAAGCAAAATAAAGACAGTTGCAGGCGGGCAAAAGCTGAGAGAATCTGTCTACAGCAGACTTCCACTACAAAAAGTGTCAAAAGAGGTTTTTCATGCAGAATTGATGGAAATGGAATACCAAATATACAAAATAAAGAGCAAGTCAGTGATACAAAAATAAAGGAGCAATGTGAATGTAAATAACTTAAACAACAATCACAGGGAGGAGAAGTACATAAACAGGTAATCATAGGAGATGTGGGAAATGTAATAAGAAGTGTACACAACGTAGCAAAAGAAAAGGGCAGCTGACTCACCAACACAAAACCTCCCTGCTGTGAAACAGCTCAGAAACACGAAATCATTTCACAAGAATATGTCCAGAAGTTACATCTCTATGGACATCAGCACTTCAATTCTTGATACTTGTTTTAAAAAACTAGGGACATCAAACAGTTGTTTTAAGAAGTGGGGCTGGCTCCTCAGGCTTTTGAATCACTACTCCATTGCCATCGCTTCTACACACGTGACATCAACCCTCGAATGCAGAAACTATACTGACTCCTCTTCACACCACACACACAGACACACACACAGTTAATTAATATGCTAGACTTATAAGGAAGCGAAATTAAGCAAAACACTATTAATGCAACATCAATATTATAAATGCAAACATGTCAATGAATGGGAAGAGTAAGCTTAAGCAATTCACAAGCTAATTTATGAATACTTAACTTCCAACAGTGGTAGAAGAAATCAAAATTTTAGTTTTCACCAAAAATCAAAATGCTTTAAAATAAAAATCTCTAAAAGTCATAAAAATAACAATAATTATTAATTGAGCCCGTTCTTTATCTACACACTGTATCTTTACCTACACACAGACTGAAATGAAGCATCATTCATTAAACAAATTCTTCAAGGAGGAAACTACTTGTTTAAATAACAAAAAACAATCTCCAAAACACTTGTATACATAAAAATGTCATGCTTTTTAGACTACAGTGACAGACTTTATTTTCTTGTGCCACAAAATCACTGTGGACAGTGACTGCAGCCATGAGATGAAAAGACACTTGCTCCTTGGAAGAAAAGCTATTACAAACCTAGAGTGTATATTAAAAAGCAGAGACATCACTTTGCCAACAAAGGTCCATATAGACAAAGCTATGGTTTTTGCAGTAGTCATGTATGGATGTGAGAGTTGGACCCTAAAGAAGGCTGAGCGCCAAAGAACTGATACTTTCAAACTGTGGTGCTGGAGAAGACTCTTGAGATTCCCTTGAACAGCAAGGAGATCAAACTAGTCAATACAGAAGGAAATCAACCATAAATATTCACTGGAAGGACTGAAGCTGAAGCTCCATTACTTTGGCCACTGAGGTGAAGAGCCTCATTGAAAAACACCCTGATGCTGGGAAAGACTGAAGGCAGGAGGAGAAGAGGATGACAGA